ATAGGCTGGGCTCGGAGCAGATCTGGTCAGCCTTCCAAGAACTAATTTCCCTTCATTGCAGGGACCACATCCCCACCTCATTTACCGGACCCCTCTCCTCCCAGCCCCCATTGGATGCAGGGAACCAGGTAAAGGGGGAAAAGTGGGGCTGGGGAGGGGCCTGGCTGTGCCCCCCCTCACCTGTCCCTTCCCCCAGACTGCCTGTTCGCTGCCCCTGCCCATTCTGCTCCTCCGAACCGGCCGAGGCTGAGAAGGAAAAGGCAGGTACGGGGCCCGCACAGACCTCGGGCTGCAGAGACCTCAGGCTGTGGTCCAGAGCAGGACACACCCATCCATGGTCGGGGCAAAGAAGGGCTCAGAGTGATGTGGCTGGGCGCCAGGGAACTATCTCTGAGAGGGAGCCTCCACCCCATTCCCTAATGCCCATGTCCCCATGGTGGACTAACAGGAACTGCCCTCATACCAAGGCTGAGAAGAGATGCTACCCCCGCCATTGGGGGGCTGGCATTGTCCCTGGTTGGAGCCCAGCCCCCCAAGTCTGTCCATGGCTTGACCATGACGCCAGGCATAGAGGAGACTGATTCCAAGTGCCCACCCACCCCCCAGGTCCGCCGGGGCCACCCTACGGTGCACAGTGAGACCAAGTATGTGGAGCTGATCGTGATCAATGACCATCAGCTGGTAAGTTCCCAGGCTGGGGGCAGCCCTGGGAGGAGGGGCTGGAAGCAGCCTCGCCCTCCACCACTCTTCCTCCAGTATGAGCAGATGCGTCAGTCGGTGGTCCTCACCAGCAACTTTGCCAAGTCCGTGGTGAACCTGGCAGATGTGGTGAGTAAACCTCCTTTCCCCTCCCTCTCACCCCAAGCCCCCCACCCAGCTGCATACATCCTTGGGGTGAGCAATCGAGGGCACTATCGGCCACTGACCCCTACTTCCTGGAAACAGACTGAAGCCCTCTTCCAGCCTTAGCCCCCCCACACCCACTCCCACCCTCCAGCTTTCTCACCATCTTTTCCCATCTGGGCCCAGATGTATAAGGAACAGCTCAATACCCGGATAGTGCTGGTTGCCATGGAAACGTGGGCAGATGGGGACAAGATCCAAGTGCAGGATGACCTGCTGGAGACCCTGGCCCGGCTCATGGTCTATCGGCGGGAGGGCCTCCCTGAGCCCAGTGACGCCACCCACCTCTTCTCGTGAGTTCCCCACCCCATGCATCCTGCCAGCCTCGCTGGTGGTTGCGGTGCTCAGGGTTATTGAACACCTACCTGCTCTGTGCCAGGTGATCTTCAGGGCCTGGGACTGGTGGGTCTTATCTTGTTCCTGCCCCCAGCCACTTGCAACAGGCTGGGCATCCTCCCCTGCATCTTAAGCTGATGTCCTTTTTCCTTACCTGCCATCACCTCTGCCATCACCCCCCCTTTGTTCCCTCTTCTCTTTTCAAACTGTCCCAGCGTCCCTTCCTGGTAAGGGAAAAGCCTGATAAAAGGTCCTTGCAATTAGAGAGGATCTAATAGGAACCTCTCATTTGGCTTATGGGCAAACAAACCCAAAGAAAGGAAAGGGCTTGCCTGAGATCACAAGCTGGCATGGAGGGCAATACTCACCTCCTCGAGGAAGGGCTCTAGTTGGGGAGGCTTCCTGTCTGCCCCTCACAGCCCAAGGGAGCCACCAAGGGTAGGGCAGGAGGGTTTCCTGACAACCCTCTCCCTTCCAGGGGCAGGACTTTCCAGAGCACCAGTAGTGGGGCTGCCTACGTGGGAGGCATCTGCTCTTTGTCCAGGGGTGGAGGTGTGAATGAGGTGAGCAGTGTGGGGTCATAGCTGGGATAGGGGTGAGAGCGGGAGGGGCTGCAAAGGGCATGAGCCCTGTGCCTTTTGAAGGGATGTAGACATCTTTGTGCTCCATCTTCTTCACCCCAAGTATGACAACATGGGGGCCATGGCCGTGACCCTGGCCCAGACGCTGGGGCAGAACCTGGGCATGATGTGGAATAAACACCGGAGCTCAGCAGGTATCAAGGAAGACCCCATGTGGCCCCATAACCGGCCCAGACTCATACCCAGCAGCTCCAGAAATGAAGAGGGTGTCCATGGGAGGAGGGCCAGTCATTCACCCTCCCTTATATACCCTCGGCTCACCTCTCAGGGGACTGCAAGTGTCCGGACAACTGGCTGGGCTGCATCATGGAGGACACTGGGTGAGTTTTGGGAGCTAAACCAGGGGAAGGCCTTGGGCGGGGAGAGTCCCAGAGTAAGCACTGGGTGGAAGTCTGGACCTGGTGGCCTCAAGAGGTCCAGCTGTCAGGACCACTCAGGATTCCAAGAAACCCTGTTTTGTGTGGGACTCTGCACTGGGGGACCAGGTTCCCCTGCGGGACCCTGAAACTAACCGGACTGTAGTGCGCACTGTTGCCACTGGGCGCCGCCAAAGCCCCGTTCGGAGGCATCTTCCCTCCTTGGCGCCGCGCCTCGGACTCTTGGAGTCCCAAGATCGCAGGGAGGGGAAAGGAGCGACGTCCTCCACCCACTCCTGCTCGGGGGCAGGTGGGAGGATTTTTGTGCGGTCCCCGAGAACATAGACCCTCAGCCTCCCCGAGAGGGTGACCGAGTCCCGGGTGCAGCCCTTTCCCAATCTTGAGAAGGGGTTAGAGTGGTCTGGAGGGTTGGGCGCGCGGGCCGCGCCCCCGCGGCACCGTCTCCTCATTCCCGCCCAGGTTCTACCTGCCCCGCAAGTTCTCGCGCTGCAGCATCGATGAGTACAACCAGTTTCTGCAGGAGGGCGGCGGGAGCTGCCTCTTCAACAAGCCCCTCAAGGTACCAGGCCAGCGGCAGGGAACGTGGGAGGGGCGCTCGGGCTGGTCCTGGTCAGGCTCCCGACACCCCTTCCCCGGCCAGCTGCTGGACCCCCCTGAGTGCGGAAACGGCTTCGTGGAGGCAGGGGAGGAATGTGACTGCGGCTCTGTTCAGGTGAGAGACCGGTGCCAGGTGGGAGGCAGGGAACTCGGGGATGGGCGCGAGAAAGGATCTAGGTGGGGGGGTCCGGGCTCGCCCGCCTCCCTCCCCTTCTCCCCGCGTCCCTCAGGAGTGCAACCGAGCGGGCGGGAACTGTTGCAAGAAATGCACCCTGACTCACGACGCCATGTGCAGCGACGGGCTCTGCTGT